AAATAAACCTACCATTAAAATTATAGACTGATAATTTCTTTGTCAGTGGGCAAACGTACAAAATCAGCAGGGGATCAAATACTTTTTCCCTCACTGTATTGTCTGTGTGAGTGTGTATATATAGTATGTGCGTGCGTGTTGTGTGTGTCTCTCTAAGTCTGCGTGAGTGTCTGTCTCCCTCTAAGTCTGAATATTTTGTCTGTGTGTGTGTATATAGTCTGTGTGAGTGTGTTGTCTGTGTGTTGTCTGTGTGTGTCTCTAAGTATGTGTGTGTGTCTCTCTCTGGCTGTGTATACATTGTCTGTGTGTGTATAGTCTGTGTGTGTGTATTGTCTGTGTGTGTCTCTAAGTCTGTGTGTCAGTGTGTCTCTCTCTCTGTCTGTATTATTTGTGTGTATAGGGAGACAAAGGCGGCCGGGCGTGGTTGCTGGCCACCCACCCCCTCGTGTGCCATGCCAGCCTTCATCGCTCGCTACTCGCTCACAGCACTTGCCCCGGCAATTTGTTGAGGCTACACGGGGGAGCTTTGGTGAGCGGTGATGCAGCGGTTAGCGCACTGAGCTACAAATCCGGTTTCGATGGTGATGACCGGTCATCACCATGGAGATGACCGGTCATCACCATGGGATGACCGGTCATCACCATGGAGATGACCGGTCATCTCCATGGTGATGACCGGTCATCTCCCGGTAATGACCAGTCTCCATGGAGATGACCGGTCTCCACGGTGATGACCGGTCTCCATGGTGATGACCGGTCTCCATGGTGATGACCGGTCATCTCCATGGTGATGCCCGGTCTCCATGGTGATGACCGGTCATCTCCATGGAAATGACCAGTCTCCATGGTGATGCCCGATCTCCATGGTGATGCCCGGTCTCCATGGTGATGACCGGTCATCTCCATAGTGATGCCCGGTCTCCATGGTGATGCCCGGTCTCCATGGTGATGGGAGCATGGAATGTTGGCCATGTGCCCGAGCAGCAACAGTCAAATCAGGTCGCATTAATTATGGATGGAATTTCCCCAGCCATAGAAATGTGTAATTTGAGACCAGTGGCGCTGGCGCTGCTTCTGCTGCTAACAACAGCTAACAACAACAACTAACAACAACAGCTAACAGCAACAACTAACAACAACAGCTAACAGCAACAACTAACAACAACAGCTAACAACAACAACTAACAACAACAACTAACAACAACAACTAACAACAACAGCTAAAAACAACAGCAGCAGCGGCTGTCTTGCAACGGCGTCACGGACTGCCTTGGGCGCTGTCGCACGGCGGAAGTTTGGGGGATTGTGGGAACGGGCGACTTAGAGCTGTTGGTTTTGAGAAGAGAAAACAGAAGATGAGAAACAGCGACGCCAGAGAAGAGACTGCTCTGCCGTCACGATGGCCGTGTCGTAGACAATGAGATGACGGGTTCAGACTGGACCCACCTGTGTTCAAGCCGGGTTCTCGAGCGTTATATCTAGACTCGTGCAGAGCGCCGTAGACTCACGCAGAGAGCCGTAGACTCACACAGAGAGCCAAAGACTCACACAGAGAGCCAAAGACTCACACAGAGAGCCGTAGACTCACGCAGAGAGCCACAGACTCACGCAGAGAGCCATAGACTCACACAGAGAGCCACAGACTCACACAGAGAGCCACAGACTCACGCAGAGAGCCATAGACTCACACAGAGAGCCATAGACTCACGCAGAGAGCCATAGACTCACACAGAGAGCCATAGACTCACGCATAGAGCCATAGACTCACACAGAACCATAGACTCACGCAGAGAGCCATAGACTCACACAGAGAGCCGTAGACTCACACGGAGAGCCGTAGACTCACACAGAGAGCCATAGACTCACGTAGAGAGCCATAGACTCACGCATAGAGCCATAGACTCACACAGAACCATAGACTCACGCAGAGAGCCGTAGACTCACACAGAGAGCCAAAGACTCACACAGAGAGCCAAAGACTCACACAGAGAGCCGTAGACTCACGCAGAGAGCCACAGACTCACGCAGAGAGCCATAGACTCACACAGAGAGCCACAGACTCACACAGAGAGCCACAGACTCACGCAGAGAGCCATAGACTCACACAGAGAGCCATAGACTCACGCAGAGAGCCATAGACTCACACAGAGAGCCATAGACTCACGCATAGAGCCATAGACTCACACAGAACCATAGACTCACGCAGAGAGCCATAGACTCACACAGAGAGCCGTAGACTCACACGGAGAGCCGTAGACTCACACAGAGAGCCATAGACTCACGTAGAGAGCCATAGACTCACGCATAGAGCCATAGACTCACACAGAACCATAGACTCACGCAGAGAGCCGTAGACTCACACAGAGAGCCGTAGACTCACACAGAGAGCCGTAGACTCACGCAGAGAGCCATAGACTCACACAGAGAGCGATAGACTCACACAGAGAGCCGTAGACTCACACAGAGAGCCGTAGACTCACACAGAAACCCATAGACTCTCACAGAGAACCATAGACTCACACAGAGAGCCATAGACTCACACAGAGACCAATAGCATCACACAGAGAGCCATAGACTCACACAGAGAGCCATAGACTCACACAGAACCATAGACTCACACAGAGAGCCATAGACTCACGCAGAGAGCCGTAGACTCACAGGGAGAGCCGTAGACTCACACAGAGAGCCGTAGACTCACACAGAGAGCCATAGACTCACACAGAGAGCCGTAGACTCACGCAGAGAGCCATAGACTCACACAGAGAGCCATAGACTCACACAGAGAGCCATAGACTCACACAGAGAGCCGTAGACTCACACGGAGAGCCGTAGACTCACACAAAGAGCCGTAGACTCACACAGAGAGCCGTAGACTCACACAGAGAGCCACAGACTCACGCAGGTACCCATAGACTCACGCAGGGACCCATAAACTCACACAGAGAGCCATAGACTCACACAGAGATCCATAGACTCGCGCAGAGGGCCATAGACTCACACAGAGAGCCGTAGACTCACACGGAGAGCAGTAGACTCACACAAAGAGCCGTAGACTCACACAGAGAGCCGTAGACTCACAGAGAGAGCCGTAGACTCACACAGAGAGCCATAGACTCACACAGAGACCCATAGACTCACACAGAGGGCCATAGACTCACACAGAGACCAATAGCATCACACAGAGGCCCATAGACTCACACAGAGAGCCGTAGACTCACACAGAGAGCCATAGACTCACACAGAGAGCCATAGACTCACACAGAGAGCCATAGACTCACACAGAGACCAATAGCATCATACAGAGAGCCATAGACTCACACAGAGAGCCATAGACTCACACAGAGAGCCGTAGACTCACACAGAGAGCTATAGACTCACACAGAGAGCCATAGACTCACGCATAGAGCCATAGACTCACACAGAGAGCCATAGACTCACGCAGAGAGTCATAGACTCACACAGAGAGCCATAGACTCACACAGAGAGCCGTAGACTCACACAGAGAGCCGTAGACTCACGCAGAGAGCCGTAGACTCACACAGAGAGCCGTAGACTCACACAGAGAGCCGTAGACTCACACAGAGACCCATAGACTCACGCAGGGACCCATAGACTCACACAGAGAGCCACAGACTCACGCAGAGAGCCATAGACTCACACAGAGAGCCGTAGACTCACACAGAGAGCCATAGACTCACACAGAGGGCCGTAGACTCACACAGAGACCCATAGACTTACGCAGGTACCCATAAACTCACGCAGGGACCCATAGACTCGCGCAGAGTGCCGTAGACTCACACAGAGAGCCATAGACTCACACAGAGACCCATAGACTCACGCAGAGAGCCATAGACTCACACAGAGAGCCATAGACTCACACAGAGAGCCGTAGACTCACGCAGAGAGCCATAGACTCACACAGAGAGCCGTAGACTCACACAGAGAGCCATAGACTCACACAGAGAGCCATAGACTCACGCAGAGAGCCATAGACTCACACAGAGAGCCATAGACTCACGCAGAGAGCCATAGACTCACACAGAGAGCCACAGACTCATGCAGAGAGCCATAGACTCACGCAGAGAGCCATAGACTCACGCATAGAGCCATAGACTCACACAGAACCATAGACTCACACAGAGAGCCATAGACTCACGCAGAGAGCCATAGACTCACGCAGAGAGCCATAGACTCGCACAGAGAGCCGTAGACTCACACAGAGAGCCACAGACTCACACAGAGAGCCACAGACTCACACAGAGAGCCATAGACTCACACAGAGAGCCATAGACTCACGCAGAGAGCCATAGACTCACACAGAGAGCCATAGACTCACACAGAGAGCCATAGACTCACACAGAGAGCCATAGACTCACGCATAGAGCCACAGACTCACGCAGAGAGCCATAGACTCACGCAGAGAGCCATAGACTCACACAGAGAGCCATAGACTCACACAGAGAGCCATAGACTCACACAGAGAGCCATAGACTCACACAGAGAGCCACAGACTCACGCAGAGAGCCATAGACTCACGCAGAGAGCCACAGACTCACACAGAGAGCCATAGACTCACGCAGAGAGCCATAGACTCACGCAGAGACCCATAGACTCACACAGAGGGCCATAGACTCACACTACTACTACAACTAACTACCACTACTACTCCCACCACTACTATTGCTACCACTAATACTACCACTACTATTACCACCACTACTACCACTACTACTACCACCACTACTACCACCACTACTAGCACCACTACTACTACCACTACTATCTCTACTACAACTACTACTCCCACCACTACTACTACCACCACTACAACCACCACTACTATTACCACCTCCACTTCCCCTACTACTACCACCACTACCACACATGTCCCGCTTACGATGACGATACCACCATTGTGGACAGCACTCTACCGATGATGACAATGATTCCAATGGTGATGGTGATGATGAGAACGCCCATTCTTCCTCCCCCTGTTGCAGATTCCTACCCGTGGTGGACTGCCGCAAGCATGAGTTGGAGCCTGCTCAACGATGTCCTTAAGAATGTGGCCAAGTATGAAACGCAAGTCGGAAAGGTTCGTTCCTTTTGTCGATATGTTAATGACCTCGCCTGGTATACAGGAGGGCGTGGGTTCAAACCCGACCCTGATGACACCTGCTGCTGTATATTTGGAATTTGCGTCTCTCTCTCTCTCATCATCATCACGGTGGCTAGGAGATGTTAACTACCTCGCCTGGCATGCAGGAAGTCGTGGGTTCGATCCCGACGCTGACGATGCCTGTAGTTTGTGTGTCTCTCTCTCTACCCCTGGTCGCTTGGATTTCTCTATGGGTCCCTCCGGGATTTCCCTACACATTTGGAATCAACGTCACCACGCGTTAAGAGTATTGAACTGCTGCTATACATTCCCACGTGATGATGATCACGATGATAAGCCTACTTGGTTGAGTCATAATTTGTGATAGCCAGGGTCGCTTCTAAGAAAGAGCTACTTAGTCTCAAGTTGGCCTCACCTGGTAAAATAAAAAATAGTTCTGTTTAAAGTATCCGCGTGTCCCCAACCACGTGCTATCGGCGTTGTCCAATGGGAATCGTCCATATCTCCCAACCACGTGCTATCGGCGTTGTCCAATGGGAATCGTCCGTGTCTCCCAACCACGTGCTATCGTTGTTGTCCAATGGGTATCGTCTATATACCCCCAACCACGTGCTATCGGCGTTGTCCAATGGGCATCGTCTATCCAGACCCAACCACGTGCTATCGGCGTTGTCCAATGGGCAATCGTCTATGCACCCCCAACCACGTGCTATCGGCGTTGTCCAATGGGCAATCGTCTATGCACCCCCAACCACGTGCTATCGGCGTTGTCCAATGGGTATCGTCTATGTAGCCCCAACCACGTGCTATCGGCGTTGTCCAATGGGCAATCGTCTATGCACCCCCAACCACGTGCTATCGGCGTTGTCCAATGGGCAATCGTCTATGCACCCCGAACCACGTGCTATCGGCGTTGTCCAATGGGTATCGTCTATGTAGCCCCAACCACGTGCTATCGGCGTTGTCCAATGGACAATCGTCTATGCACCCCCAACCACGTGCTATCGGCGTTGTCCAATGGGCAATCGTCTATGCACCCCCAACCACGTGCTATCGGCGTTGTCCAATGGGCAATCGTCTATGCACCCCCAACCACGTGCTATCGGCGTTGTCCAATGGGAATCGTCTATGCACCCCCAACCACGTGCTATAAGCGTTGTCCAATGGGCATCGTCTATGCACCCCCAACCACGTGCTATCGGCGTTGTCCAATGGGCAATCGTCTATGCACCCCCAACCATGTGCTATCGGCGTTGTCCAATGGGCAATCGTCTATGCAGACCCAACCACGTCCTATCGCCGTTGTCCAATGGGCATCGTCTATGCACCCCCAACCACGTGCTATCGGCGTTGTCCAATGGGCAATTGTCGATGTTGCTGTCCGTCGCGTGCGCTGCGCAGGTCTGGCTGTCGGTGCTGCTCATCTTCCGGCTGCTGGTGCTCGTCGCCGTGGCGGACAAGGTCTACTCGGACGAGCAGAAGGAGTTCGAGTGCAACACGCGGCAGCCGGGATGCAAGTACGCAAGCGGGAGCATGCGACGTGCAGCAGCAGTCACGCTTCCCTGCACACACACACGCCACACACACACACACACGCCACACACACACACATGCCACACATACACGCGCCACACACACACACGCCACACACACACACACGCCACACACACACACACGCCACACACACACGCCACACACACACACGCCACACACACACGCCACACACACACGCCACACACACACACGCCACACACACACGCCACACACACACACACACGCCACACACACGCCACACACGCCACACACATACACGCACGCCACACACACACGTGCCACACACACGCCACACAAACGCACGCCACACACACATACACGACACACACACACACGCCACACATACATGGCACACACACAAGCACACAGAGCAAGCATTGCTCCCCTGACCCCCAAGACGGCCCCAACCCACGAGGCTGACTCACTGCATCTGGCAGAGGATCACTCTGAGCAAAATAGTTCCGCCTTTAATTTTTCTCAATTTGGAGTTCATGTTTTTTTGAGTTGATGCTTTTTCATGGAAATTGGTTCATAAGTATGGGTGGCACTCGTATGGGTGGCACTCGTAAGTGCGGGCGTTTGTAAGTGCGGGCGTTCGTAAGTATGGGCGTTCGTAAATCGAGGACTGTCTGTACTCCGGTTTACACTTTCCACAACATCATAGTGGAATACAAATGACTCGGTTTATATTTACTTATTCGTCCGGGAAAGATGCATCAGCATGATAATCTTTTATTCATCCTGGAGGAATCGGATGATTAAAGTATATGAAAGGTAGGCAATAAGTCCCAAGACTGTTTTTTGTTATTCACGAGTGTTGCAGTTGAGGGGCGATGTTGCTGCTGCTGCTGTGTGTGGCATCCCAGTTTGGTGGGGAGCGGTAGTGTAGTGGTCAGCGCTACATTGCGCTACAATCCCGGCGACCCGAGTTCGATTCCTGCTCACGGCCAACACCGGTGACGATTATTTGAACCGGTCCTGGGCCTCCATTCGGTCGACTCAGCCTCAAACGAGTACCTGGTGCGGTGCATAGTAAATATCGCCATTGGGGAGACAAAGGCGACCGGGCATTGGTGTTGGCCACCCACCCACTCGTGTGCCTCAGTGCCGGCCTTCACTAACAGCACCTGCCCCAACAGTCTGTTAAGGCTACACGGGGGATCTTTGTCTTTGTGTGAGGGTTTTTGCTTTGGGAGGAAATTGGAGAATAAGCAGCGCATAATACCGCTTGGATTAGGCACAGTTAATCAACACGCGGCAACCTGCATAGGCATGCAATTAGCCAGTGTTGTTATTTGTGCTACTGCACCACCCAGGTGGCCCCGCCCACCACTCAGGTAGATCCGCCCACCACTGCGCTATCCCCGCCCACTGCACAGGTTGCCCCGCCCACCACTCAGGTAGCCCACGCCCACCACCCAGCTAGTCCCGCCCAGCACCCAGGCAGCCCCGCCCACCACTGCTCCCAACCCCGCCCCTTCCTTAACTCTGTCCCTCTGCCCCTCCTCGTGTCCCCGCCCCCCACCCTGCCCGATGCCCCGCCACCACCCTAGGACCGTGTGCTACGACGCCTTCTTCCCTGTGTCGCACATCCGCTTCTGGGCCATCCAGCTGGTGCTCGTGTCCACGCCCACTATGCTCGTGCTCATGCACGTGGCGGCGCGGCGATTCCGGAACAAGTTCAAAGGTGACGGCCGTTGGAGATCGAGCGTTGCTCCCTCTGACCCCCCCCCCCCCCCCCCGCCTCCACAACTCGCCAACCCGCCCCGCTCGCGACGCATGAGGTTCTATCCGGGCAACCCGGTTTACTCCCACCACGCAGTGCCGGATGAAGCTCATGCGGGGCCTGTAGCAAATGATGTTATAAAGGGGCCTTAAATAAAAAAAAAACACTTAAATATTAAAACACACATTTTTTTTTACTTGCATGGGAAAGTGATTGTATTTTTTCATTTGCTATGCAGCCAGATAACACGACAAATCGCTAACCTTAAACAACCAGTCGTTCATAAAAGTCGAAGGCGGTATAGTGCTATAGTAATAGAGCAAGTGCAGAATCACTGAACCGGAATTGATAGCTTGAAAGCGTTTAGCGTGGGGCCCTTGAAAGTGCGGGGCCCGTAGCATTTGTAGCTACTTTTGCTACGAGGATAATCCGGCACTGCCACCACGTAGAGGCCCGCTGAGCTTGGGCAATTGTTGGCAGTGTCGTCTTTTTTGTTTTGTGTTCCCCATCTCTCTCTCTCTCTCGTGTATCCATATCTCTAGTGTATCAATCTCTCTCTTATTCCCCATCTTTCTCTCTCTCATGTATCCATCTCTCTGTCATATTGTGATCCCCTTCTCCCTCTAGTGTATCCATCTCTCTCTCTCCTGTATCCATCTCCCTAGTGTATCAATCTCTCTCTTGTTCCCCATCTCTCTCTCTCTCTCAAGTATCCATCTCTCTGTCATATTGTGATCCCCTTCTCCCTCTAGTGTATCCATCTCTCTCTCCTGTATCCATCTCCCTAGTGTATCAATCTCTCTTATTCCCCATCTCTCTCTCTCATGTATCCATCTCTCTCTTTAATGTATCCATCTCTCTCTCTTATCTTCTCCATCTCCGTCTGTCTCGCGTTTCTCTCTTCTCGCGTTCCCCTTCTCAATGTCTCCCCACCCCCACCCGCAGGCCGTGAGGACCTGGACAAGATGGAGGGGGGCCTGGTGTGGACCTACCAGCTGAGCGTGATATGCCGAGTGGTCGTCGAGGTGGGCTCCGCCTACCTCTTCTGGAGGTTCTGCTCGCCCCTGGGCCTCATTCTGCCCATGGTGGCCCAGTGCTCAGTGGCCCCGTGCCCCAACTCGGTCGACTGCTTCGTGTCGCGCCCCTCCGAGAAGACCGTCTTCATCATCTTCATGCTTACCGTGTCCGGGGTGAGCGCTCGGACGTTTGTCCGTCTGTCCGTCTGTCCGTCTGTCCGTCTGTCCGTCTGTCCGTCCGGCCGTCTGTCCGGCGGATCCGTGCCACCGCCCCTGTCCGACCGGCCGTCGTTTGTGTGTCTCCGATCGGCCATTTTCTTTTTTTTTTCCCTCCGTTCGCTTGTCCGATTGGCCGATCGTCCGTCCAATCGGCGTGCGAGCGTCCGTTCGCCCGTCCGTCGGACCGTCAGATCGCCCGTTTGTCCATTCGTACTTCGGACATTTCCGCTTTCCGGCACCAACATGGGAGCGGCACCCGCAGTAACCGCACGTACTTGTGGCAAAGCATGCAAACCGGCAGGCTGTGATAATGTGCTGTTCGCCTTTTGGCACTGTTCTCTGGTCTGTCACTGGTGGTGAGTCTAGGCCATAAAGATGGCTGCCGTCTCTGGTGTAGGCCAACCGGTTTCCAAAGACAGTGCCATGTGACGTTATCAGAGCATGTTTGTTGGCATGTTTTGCCACAAGTATGTGTGTGGTTAATCCATAATAGAGGTTTTTGCGTGGTTAGATCGATAGCAGCACAAGCCAATGTTGTGTCGTTAAACCCGCCATCACCCAACACAGCCAACTAGTAAGGGTTGTCACGTAAACAGAACGTGCCAATTCATTACTAGTACAGCACTAGTGTATAGTGTAGTGTATAGTAGTGTATAGTGTAGTAAACTAGTACAGCACTAATGTATAGTGTAGTGTATAGTGTAGTCTACTAGTACAACACTAGTGTAATTTGTAGTGTATAGTGTAGTGTATAGTGTAGTGTATAGTAGTGTACAGTGTAGTGTATAGTGTAGTATGTAGTGTATAGTGTAGTATACTAGTACAGCACTAGTGTATAGTGTAGTGTATAGTGTAGTGTATAGTGTAGTGTATAGTGTAGTATACTAGTACAGCACTCCGGTTTCTTGTATAGCCAATGCACAACATTTACAATCTGAGTACGACGTTTTGCCAGTAATTACAACCAGCTTCATCAGGCGACACCCAGATTGACAGCCAAATTGGTGAAGCAAGTTGTAATTACTGTTGAAACGTCGTACTCAGATTGTAAATATTGGGGCTTGGCACGTTCTGTTTACGTGACAAACCGTACTAATTGGCTGTGTCGGTTGGTGGCAGGTTTAACGACACATTTATATTTACACGATCTAACCCAAAAAAACCTGTATTATGGATGATATTGGTCACGAAAGCCTCCTACGTGTTAAACTGTGTGGTTGATGCAGACTTAATGGCTTGCAAAAGGTATAATCTGTTTGATGTTTGAACATCTGAACACAAATCTTGTTATATCGCCAGAAAGGGTAAAAACTCTTTTCTTAATTTTCCATTATTGTCGACTCGTCATTACATCAGAAGACAATGGGGAGTTTCTCCTGGACCAGAAATAAAATAACCAATCCAATATTCGCAACAAGATCAAACTCATGACGAGTCTCATGCATATATTCACATCAAATTTACGTGAGTATCTCGAAGGGCAATAGAACTATTCAAATTTATCGTTGGTATAATCATTTCCGGACACCCGGTACGTGTAGAGTTTTTCCGAAGCGGCCCGTTCACCAACCCGCACAGAGTCACAATATGGTCAAACTGTCCGTGACGGTTGACATGGGGTAACTGAGGTCCACATTCATCAGGGCTATCATTATTATAGTGAACATCAATATTCACGATGCAGTGCAGGAAAATGGCAAAGATCCCCCATGTAACCTTTAACAGACTGGGGTCAGTGCTGGCACGGCGCATCAGTGTTGCTGGAGGGCACGAGCCACCTCCACACGAGCCACCTCCACAGAGGCCGATCTTTACACCGCTGGTACCGGTCATCGGCAAGTCCACTCAGCTCCACGTCCTCCTGTACCACATCAGCTCCATCTCTTCTCCAGCCTGTGCCACCCACCCACTCACTCATAAGTCAATCTCTTCTCTAGCCCGTGCCACTCACTTACCCACCCACCCTCCCACTCACCCACCCACTCACCCATCAGTCCATCTCTTCTGTCGCCTGTGCCACTCACTCACTCACCCATCCATCCACCCACTCACCCGTCCACCCATTCACTACCCATCAGCTCAATCTCTTCTCCAGCCCATGCCGCGCCCGTTGAGCCCCCTCTATCCGACCAAACAGAAGCGTGGGGTGGCTGGGCATGCAGGCCACATGACCCAGCCAACGCAGCCTTGGTAACCATCATCAGCAGCCATCAGGGAAACATAATAGACTCTTTGGTGCAAGTGCTGTTAGCGAGTAGCAGCACCTACGAAGGCCGGCGCTGTGGCACACGAGGGGGTGGGTGGCCAGCACCACGCCCGGCCGCCTTTGTCTCACCCCAGTGGCGATGTTTACGACACTCCACTGCACCAGGTAACTCATTTGAGGCTGAGTCGACCTAGGGAAGGAGGGCCAGTACCAGTTCAGATAATATAATCGTTGCCAGCGGCGTTGGTCGTGGTGGCCGTGAGCGACAGTTGAATTTCAGATCTCTGCCGGGGTCGTAGTGCGGCTGCGTGCTAACCGCTGCACCGCCGCTCCTCCCGCAGACACCCACACAGACGAAGACAAAGATCCCCCGTGTAGCCTCAACCAACTTTTGAGGAAAGTGCTCTTTGGGAGCACCTATTAAGACAAAAGACAAATATCCCCCGTATAGCCTTTCCAGACTGTAGGGGCAAGTGCTGTTAGCGAGCAGCACCTATGAATGCCCACACGGGACACGAGGGCGTGGGTGGCCAGAACCACGCCCGGCCGTGTCTCCACAGTGGCGATGTTTACTACGCACCGCACCAGGTACTCATTTGAGGCCGAATGGACATAGGGGAGGCCCAGGACTGGTTCAGATAATCGTCACAGCTATTAATCCAACTCGGGTGGCCGGATTCACAGCGTAGCAGCGCACTAACCGCTCCCCCCCTTAGACACACACACACAGAGACACAAAAACACACAGAAAAACACACAGAAAAACACACACACACACAAGCCCATGCATATGCAGGTAACGCAACAGCCGGCACCGTGAAGTAATCGTCACGCGTCTGCCTTAACCGGTCCGGCGGGTATTTGGGTGCCCTCCGGCTTCTTGGCAGCCATTTGTGCAGAGTCGGTTACCAGTCGCCCAGGAGGGGTGGCCCAGGTGTCGGGGGGGAGGAGGAGGAGGAGGGTCAGGAGGGGGTCGTTGTGTAACCCGCCGCATCGGCTTACGGCGATGACGGTGAGGGTAGCTGGGTGCACGAGAGGTGACGAGACGCCGACGCTCAGAGCTGCCGGGCCCTCTACCGCAGGTCGACTCGGCCCCCGATTCCCACGAGCGCCTGGGTTCCATTAGTCCCATTTATTTTGGTATAGCCCTGTGAGCCATTCGGCTCTTGAATCGGTGCAACCGCAACAAACAAAAATGAAAACACGAACAAGAAAACATCTTAAAGGGTGCGGTGTGTCGTAGACGTCACCACTGGGGCGTGGTGCTGGCCAACCACCCCCTCGTGTGCCGTGCCGGCCTTTTTAGGTGCTGCTACTCGCGAAGAGCACTTGCCCCAAAAGTTCTGAGATTTGGGTTATTCTGTATAATAATAACAACAATAATCCTACTTGTCTTGACTTTTAGGCCATCTTGTATAACAAGAACCCTATGTGTCCTGATTTAGGGCCACCCAGTATAATAATAACCCTACTTTTCCTGACTTGTGAGCCACTCTGTATAACGAAAACCCTACTTCTTATGACTGTTGGGCCACCCTGTATAAAAAATAATCCTACTTGTCCGGACTTTTGGGCCACCCTGTATAATAATAATAATGTTACTTGTCCTGACTTTTGGGCCACTCTGTATAATAATAATGTTACTTGTCCTGACTTTTGGGCCACTCTGTATAATAATAATGTTACTTGTCCTGACTTTTGGGCCACCCTGTATAATAATAATAATGTTACTTGTCCTGACTTTTGGGCCACTCTGTATAATAATAATGTTACTTGTCCTGACTTTTGGGCCACTCTGTATATTCAGCCACGTCTCAATGTAAAAAGCCACGTGCTAAAGTCGTGATGTGACCGTCTCTCTCACCAGCCAATCAGAGTGTCTCAATGTAAAAAGTCACGTGCTTAAGTCGTGACGTAACCATCTCTCGCACCAACCAATCAGAGCGCCTCAATATAAAAAAAATCCACGTGCTAAAGTCGTGACGTCGCCGTCTGTCTCACCAACCAATCAGAGCTCCTCATTGCTTAAGTCGCGACGTAACCATCTCTCTCTCTCTTGCCCCACCCAGATCTGCCTCTTCCTCAACCTCATTGAGCTCTTCTACATCCCCATCAAGTACTGGCTGGCACCGTTAATCTGCAACACACGCCAGAATGTCAGCCTCCGCGAGTCGCCCCTCTCGGCGGTGCGGAGCGACTCGACGCGCTCGGCCCCCGACGACAGGGCCGGAGCCTGCTGCAGCTGCCGCTGCGACTGCACGTGTCACCCGGCCCGCGGCAGGGCCGAGCTGACCCGCGGCAGCAGCTACGGCGGCGGCTCCGGCGGCTCCGGCGGCGGTGGCTGCGGTGGTGGCAGCCGGAGCTCGGCTTGCGCGGGGCGGCCGAACGGAGTGCTCCCGGGGCGGTGCGTCGTGGTCTTAGGGGCGCAGGACAAGGCCGGCAGGAAGAAGAAGGGCGTGACACGGATGCAGGCGATAGAGATGGGCGATGGCGATGGAGGAGGTGGTGGAGGTGGAGGAGGAGGTGGAGGAGGAGGAGGAGGAGGAGGAGGAGGAGGCTTCTCTCCTCCCCCAGTGTCCCCCGCGGCTTCGTTGCTGGTGTCGCCGCGGGCGCCGTACCTGGCGACGCACGGGAAGTGCCGCTCGTGCGGCGAGGAGGTGACGGGGGAAGGTGGCGACGAGGAGGAGCAGGAGGAAGAGGAGGAAGTGGGAGACCGGGCATTGCTAGGGGCGGGCAAGGGCGGCCGTGGCAAAGAGGGCGCCGTGAGCAAGGAGAGGCGGGCGGGCAGCGTGGGAGATGGGAAGTGACGATGCTGACGATGGCGACGACGGCGACGACGGCGACGAAGAGGGGGGCTCCGTCTCCGTGGATTTTCTCTGGGTCTGCCCCTGCTTCTGGCACTTGGTTCTCTTGACGTTTGTATTTTCCGGCAAAGTAATAATTCCGCGGGGGCGTGCCAGAGTGGGGCTCTCGCTCGCTCGCTCGCTCTCCCGCGTGCCTGAAGACGAAGCCACGGAACTACTCAGGGAGCGACAACTTTGAGACGGTGACGACGACGTGCCGGTTTTCGGCGGCAGCCGCGCGGTGGTGAGGAGCTGGCGACACCAACGGTTGTCCCCCCCCCCCCCCCCCCGGCCCCCTCCACACCCAAGCTCTCACAGTCCTCTATATATTCCGATGTTTTCAGCCGATTAAATAAGCGCTTATATTCGTGTTGGGAGGAATCCGGAGCGCCTGGACAAAAACAAAAACCCCAGACGTGCACGCGGGGTGGGAGGGTGGGGGGCAACACCTTGCTATTCCAGATGGAACAGATGGGAATTAGTCCACACACTCTGCTGTAGGAGCGAGTGAGATGGAATAGATTGGGATTAGTCCACACACTCTGCTGTAGGAGGGAGTGAGATGGGTACGGCTCCTCCACGACACCCATCCACGGGTATAAGAGGGAGTTTCATAACCCATCTGTGCGCGGTCCACCAACCCTTGCTCTGCATGGCACTGGAAACTAACTCAGTCGGCGTCAGGGTCAGGATGGAACCCACCACCTCTACCAGGCGATATAGTTCACATCTCCTAGCCACCGTGATGATCATGAGAGAGAGAGAGACAAGCAAACTCCAAATCTACAGCAGCAGGCATCGTCAGGGTCTGGATCGAACCCACGACCTCCTGCACACCAGGCGAGGTAGTTAACATCTCCTAGCCACCGTGATGATGATGAGAGAGACACGTCTCACCACCGCGGCGCCCAGTGATGCTGCTGCTGCGTTGGCAGTGGTGCACAGGCATAACAATAACATAGGCAACGTTTCGGGCGACGGACCTTCGTAGCAGATGGTAGCACGTGGTACCTTATAAAGGATATATATAGTATGTGACGTTTCATGCGACGGATCTTGCCACATTCCAGACACGGGGTGTTTTAGTGCAACAGAGCAATCTCCACCTCTCCGCAATGTAAAATATGAAAGGATTCATGACTCACCCCAGCGGCCACACTCGCACGTCCTACTGGGAGTGTGCCATTTCAACAGCATTGATGAGCAGACGAGCAACCACTCGAGAACCGGTTTCGACATGCGCTGTCTCGTCAGAGTCTCGGCATTGAGTTTCTCGTCAGCAGGGTTGTCGCTTGTCTTGAATCAGTGCTACTGAAGCGAGGCACTTCCAGAAGCCCGAGCATGTGGCTGATGGGATGTCGAGGAAATAATGTTGTTTATTTTGATTTAAAGCTTTCGTGACTGCAGGGATTCATATTCTTGGTTCTTTCGGTAAAGTCACCACGTAGAAGGGAAACAAAATAATAAAAATATCAAACAATAAAATTCTCACGACGTTTCGACTGCAACACAAGCAGTCATCATCAGGTGTGAAAACAACAGCAAGAATTGTTTTATTTATTACTTTATTGTTTCCCTTCTACGTGACTTTACCGAAAGAACTAAGAATATGTTGATGCATCTTCTTTGGTTCTTTCGGTAAAGTCACGTAGAATGAGAATAAAATAATAAATTGATCAAATAAAATAACACAATAATATTCTCACGACGTTTATTCTCATTCTACGTGGTGACTTTACCGAAAGAACCAAAGAAGATGAATCATTGCAGTCACGAAAGCTTGAAATCGAAATATGTTGATGTTCATGTTCACGTGGAGGGACGGACGTGTGTTCAGGAGGAGGCTTTCGGTTTGTTTATATATTTTGTAATTTACATTCTCCATCATCGCGACAACAACGCCAATGGTTACTTTGATTCCCGCTGCAGTCACCGTGGGTGATGTATATACAGAATGCCTCTCACTGTATTGCTCGACGTGTATATGTATGTTGAACTTGTTTGGCACCATACGTAGCCAACTATGCTAATCGGAGGTGATAGCGATGATACAAACTGCCGGCTTATTGCATTGCTGCTCTAAGCGGAATGTTTGGTCGTTGTAGTAAAGTCGCCGCCGCCGCCGCCGCATCGACCCCTACTGACGCCACCCACCACTACCTCTACTGCCGTGTGTACACTCTCCACCAACACCGCAACCACCACCGCTACCCACACCAAGCCCCACCCACCCCGCTTGCAGGCAGGGGGAAGGGGCGGGACCTAAAGAGGAATGGGTGGAGCCTGGAGAGGAAGGGGTGGGGCCTAGAGAGGAAGGGGTGGGGGCTAAAGAAGAAGGGGGGCGTGGTCCTAAAAAGAAAGAAAAAGGCGCGGAGCCGAAAGAGGAACGGAAGTTGGGGCTTGATCAGGGAAGGTGTCAGGCCTAAGGGGTCAGGGGTCAGGGGATGCATTGAGAGGAATGGGCAGGGCCCTACCAGGAGTTGAACTTTCTCTGCTGAGTGAAGGTAATGGACGCGTGGAATCAAACAGCTGCAGCAGCAGGAGGCAGGCAGGCAGCAGTGGCAGCTTTAGTGCCGTGGATGCGGACACAGGCGAGATGTTAACTCCCTCACCTGGTATTCAAGAGATCGTGAGTGTGATGCCTGATGCCTGCGGAGCATTTGGAGTTTGCGTATCTTTCTCCCCGTGGTCGCATGGATTTTTTCCCCAGGTTCTCGGGTTTTTCCCCCCCTCCACATTTAGAATCAACATCTCATGCGTTCAGAGTATCTGACTGCTGCTACAGATTTCTACACGATGATGATGATTATGATAAGCCCACTTTCTGGAGCTATCATTCGTGCTTCTGAAAACGAGCTACACGTCAGCTCAGCTTTTTTTAGGAACTGCAATCGGTCACTTACCCAGCAGATCCTCGGCGAGCCTCAAGACTCGTCTGCCGAAGGCTACGTCGGGGGTACGTGGCGGACCCTCTTTTCTTAAACGATTGGACATCTTTTGATTTAAAGCTTTCGTGACTGCAGTAATTCATATTCTCAGTTCTTTCGGTAAAGTCACGTTTAAGGGAAACAACAAAATAATAAAATACATATAAAACAATAAAAATTCTCACGACGTTTCGACCATAACACAAACGGTCGTCGAAACGTCGTGAGAATTTTTATTGTTTTATATATATTTTATTATTTTGTTGTTTCCCTTAAACGTGACTTTACCGAAAGAACTAAGAATATGATTGGACATCTGTGAGAAAGAGCTTCATGGCTAATCGGATTCCTCCAGCGGTGAGGAATAACCCCGGAACACCCCGGAGAAAACCCACCGCGCACGCAACGGGCAGTGGGTTCTTGACCGGGGGTGGGTACGTGAACCCCCGGTGGGGTACACGAGGCAATGCGCCAGGGCGAGGTGGTACGCCGCGAGGTTGATTTATATAAGTGTGCGCGATTACCGTACGGGAGAGAGTCGTCGGTGAATAATGGGGTTGTATGAATCTGCCGATATAAAATAACTACGGTGGCATTTATTTTTTTACCCGTGCAATAACGTTGAGCGCTACGAGGTACATTCCTGAATTCGTTGATCGCGAAACGGTGCAAGTTTACCAAGGAGTTGCCGGCGAGCGGTGGACAAATATCATCGCAGGGCGTCCATAGGATTTGCTTTTTGGTTATCCGCGGCGCGGTTACTAGCAGCTAGGTTAGGGATATACTTCACAAAGTGGACAATTGACGGTAAAATATCGATGTTCATTCATCCATACATTTATTTCTCAGAACCATGGGGGTCTCCAACTGGTTAAATAAAGGATGTCATACTCTTTGGTTCTTTCGGTAAAGTCACGTAGATAGAAAACACAACTAAATGAATCACGGCGTTTCGATAGCAGCACAAGCCATCGTCTTCAGGTGAAACAGTACAGCAGACGGACTGCCGAGGCAGGAGGAAATGTAGCGAGAGAGCCGCTGCAGCCAAAGGCTCTACAGTAAAACCTCGGATTGCGAGTAACTTTGGTCTGCGAGTGTTTTGCAAGACGAGCAAGGTTTTAAATAAATATTAATTTGATAAACGAGCGAGGGTCTTGCAATACGAGTAGTAGTACGTGTCTACGCTTTGTCTGCCGAGTGTCACGTGATCACAACTGATATACGAGTGCTTTGATATACGAGTGCTTTGCATTACAAACACGTTTCCGGAACGAATTATGCTCCTCGCAATCCAAGGTTTTACTCTGTACGTTTGTGCTGGGCACAACCCAAGGGTAAGTGGGCGGGGCTAGGGATGGCATTTGCAAGTGAATGTAATCGCAGAGAGGGGTGGGTGACTCTCGGCCAATCCGAGGAGGGGAGGGGGCTGCCGTAACGGGCGAGAGGGTGGGGGTGAAATTTACAGAGGGAACAAGGTGATAGAGATAAAAAATATAAAAAAAGATATGAAACTTAGCAAACTTAAAAATGTAATGCAACTCGGAGAGTCGGACCAAAACACAACAGTTCACACCCTACCTGGTTGATCAACGTCCTTCCAAAGATTGCTAAATTTTGCATCCATTTTCTCGGTTGAAGTCAAATCTGAGTTGTGTGCGAATCCTTCCCGTCGAGGTGGTTCAATCTTGATTTAAAGCTTTCGTGACTGCAGACATTCATACTCTAAACGTAAATAACCTCTGGCTGCAGTAGCTCTGTCGCTACATTTCCTCCTGCCTCAGCAGTCCGCCTGCTGTATTGTTTCACCCGAAGACGATGTCTTGTGTTGCTATCAAAACGTCGTGATTCACAAGTTGTGTTTTCTATCCCCGTGACTTTACCGAAAGAACCAAAGAGTATGAATTCATGCAGTCACGAAAGCTTCAAATCAAGATTAAAGGCTGTCAATCACAGCAGACGGTGAATCTCAATTCACAAGCGGCGCTGCCCATTCTAGATTTGAAGTTCGTGACTGCAAGGTGGTGGTGGTGCCATCAGCCACTTTGTTGAGCTGCTACTGCTTGTGATGGGCAGCGCCAATACTCTTTGATTCTATTCGGTAAAGTCACGTAGGTAAAAAACAAAACAACAAAAATCACGACGTTCCGGCCACAACACAAGTGGCCTTCATCAGGTGAAGGGACCGTGCTGTCACGAGGACAGCGTTGGAGTGAAAACAGTCCAGAAAGCTCTAACAGATAGGTGAAAGCCCTCCCCGTAGAGGTTATCAATTCTAGATTTGAAGCTTTCGTGACTGCAAGGATCCATACTCTTTGGTTCTATTCGGTAAAGTCACGTAGGTAAAAAATAAAACAACAAAAATCACAACGTTTCGGCCACAAGACAAGTGGCCTTCATCAGGTGAAGGGACCGGACTGTCCACACAGCTTAAAGGACGCGACCTGGGCTTGGCTGTCTTCACTCCAACGCTGTCCTCTGGACAGTCCGGTCCCTTCACCTGATGAAGGCCACTTGTGTTGTGGCCGAAACGTCGTGATTTTTTGTTGTTTTATTTTTTACCTACGTGACTTTACCGAATAGAACCAAAGGGTATGGCGCTGCCCATCACAAGCAGTAGCAGCTCAACAAAGTGGCTGATGGCACCACCACCACCATCATCGTTGTCGTCACGTGGACATTGATAGCAGCAGCCAAATACGCGAAAGGCATAGAGATACACGGAGGCTCACAGAGACCCATGCTCACCCATTCTCATAGAAAGCCGCAGAGATCCAGAGACGTACATTGAACCACGGAGACCCACAGAGACCAAGAGAGATTCGGAATAATCAAAAATTGAGTGATGTGGAGGGGAACACACGGAGGACCCGTA